AAGAACAATGTTGGCTCTTGGGTTTTCATAGATACTTTTTACTATGTTGAAGAAATTCCCCTCTAATCCTATTTTGTTGAGTGCTGGACTGGTCCTTTCTGGCAACATGCTCAAAGTATGTCAGAGAGAGCTGCAAAGTCCTTGCATCTAAGGAACAACTTGCTTTTACCCTCTCCAGGACAAACTTGTTTGTTCTCTTGGTAGTCCATGGTATGTTAAATGCTCTTCTCCAACTCCACAATCAAAGGCATCGACCCTTCTTCTGTCATCCTTACTCATTGTCCAACTTTCTAATGCATAGCAAGTAATTACAAAGACCATGGCTTGGATCAAGTCTACCTTAGTCGCTGGACTGACATTGTTGTTTTTTAGCAACTGAAAGCTGTAACAGTCTTTGATATTCACCAGTTAATGCTTCAAGTCTGAGCTTTCAGATCTTTGTGGTTACTTAAAAGACTGAGGCTTGAGGGAATTTATGCCCCAGTCCCATACGTATGTATACAAGGCCTGCTTTTTATCAGGCAAAATCTAGACCCAGAGGTGCGACAGTGAACAAATTTCTGCCCTTGTGAGCCGACCCTGGCATGAGGAGGATTCAGACTACAAACAGAAAACATACAGAGTATAATGCATCATAGTGAAAAGTGATAAGAAAATAAATTAACAGTAGGAAGGTTAAGGAGATAGTGAGTAACAGCTTATCTCTTTGGAGTAAGCCAATCCTGGCCCCTCCTTCCTCTGTCTCCCCTCCCCTGGATCTCTGCCTCTTCATCAGCTGCCAGGAACTCTAACTAAGCCAAGTGAACTCACAGATGCCATCTGCTCTCTCCGTGAGTGGGACTCGTGCCAGCTCCAGCGTCTGGACTCTTGGCACAGAGCCCTAGAGCAAGGAAATCCCACTCTGCACCCACCCTCCCCAAGGCTGGGGAATCCTCAGTCTTGCTGAGGGCTTGAGGTCAGTGCAAGCTGTCTGGGCTCCCTGGAGGAGGTAGATGCCTGCGGGCGTGGAGGGTCTTCCAGTCAGACTGATGATAATGGTCGTAAATAAAAACATTGAAAATAAACCCATCAAACATGTTCAGAGCATCTGCTCTGAGTCAGCCTTTGCCTAAAATGTTAGACATTTATTGAACCACGTGATCTAAATGCTTTAAGTATCACAATTATATCTAAGAAGCAGAGAAACAAAAGTCACCTATTTTACAGATCAAGAAACAGGATTGTCTCATTTATGAAAAGCCATGTTGAGCCAGGACCAAACCCACAGCTGAGCCTCCAGCAAGGTTTCAGAGGCTGTTAATCATGCAGGAAGAGATTGTCCATCTCTCTTCCACTGAGTAGCTAGCTGGTGGATTCAAACTGCATGCCTTGAGGTTGGCAGTGCAACTTCTTACCCAGTAGGCCACCAAAACAGAGATCAAAGTTTCTTAGTGGTAACAATGGGTGGGAGAGGGGGGATATTAAGGGAGATAGAAAAATTGTATTGATTAATCTGTGAGTTGCACAGCTGATTAATGTAATACTTGCTGTTAAAAAGTTGTACAGCTGTAAAAAGTTGAACTGGCCAAAGTTATGTGATATATTAATGATCATACACAAAGAGAATAACTGCTGAGGCTGCTTGTGTATAAACACTTCATGGGATTTGGTTCCTGGTTTACAGATTTAAAATCCTGGTTCCGTGGGCTATCCCAGTTAATTGGGTTATTAATGTATTTAGGGCTTCTGGTCTACCTTCAAATGGAGTTTCAAGCTTCTGTACCATCTCTCTTCCTTCCTTGTTAGACCTCCCATGCCTTTTCTTGGCCAAGTGAGCACTCCTCTCTAAACCTTCATTTCTTACCTGGAACAGGCTCTGGAGAGGAATAAATGCAGTAATGAATAGTAAACATTAAAGACAGAGTCAGGCATTGTCTGTAGTTAGGAAATGAGAACTAGGATTTGAGGCAAATGACCTAATCTCTCTGTGCCTGGTCCCTGGTGTTAAACGGGGACAATAAGCGAGAGTGCCTCTTGGCTTTGTTCTGAGGAATCCATGTCTCAGTGAGGAGAACACTGCACACAGTTTCAAGTTGTTATTGGGCAACAGGGAGGATGAGGAGGCGGGGCCAAGCCGAGAAGGCCCTGGAGAATCCGGGGCACCCACTGTCCCCGTGCTGCGGCTTCGGGGGAAGGATGCTGAGGAGGCCTGGGTCCCCCGAATACCCTGCACATGTTGGGGTACCAGGGCAGACGCCCGAGAGCTGACGTCTGCGTCCCAGGCTCCCTCCCAGCCCCGAGCGGAGGGGCGGAGCCCGGGAGGCCATGCCCCGCCCCCATCCCCGCCCCCGCGCGCTGCGGGGCCCCGGGCGGCCAGAGGGGCTTTGAGCCCCGCGCGTGAGCCCCGCGCGTGCACCCGGCTCGTCTGAGGCCTGACCCCTGCGAGCTCCGAGCTCGCTCAGCCTCCCCACTTCCCGGGCAGCGGGGTCGGGGGTCGCCTGCCGGTGCTGAGGGGCCCAGGAGGTCCTGGCTGCTGCAGCCAGTGAAGGTAAGTGAGGGGCTCGGAGGGAAGGACCATCCCTCCTGCAGGTGTTGGTGATGGGGAGACAGACCCTTGGGGAAGGAATGGGCTCAGCCAAGGTTTAGGCTTGGGACCCCCAACCCCTCCCCTCAGGGGATCGTGGAGCCTAAAAGGAAGGAATCTTCTTTGTGGTTGTGTTGAGTGTATGTGTATATGTATATTTGTATAAGAGAAAGAGTTAGGAAGGGAGGTGTGCAGAAGAGGGTTGCGGTAAACCAGGAGGTGTTTGATGAGCTGGTGAGTGTGTAGGACATGGACCTGGGAGGGATGAGTGGTAGGGGAGGACCTGGAGCAGGTGTGCACAGAGAGATGTGTGGGCAGCGTGTGTGTGTGTGTGTGTGTGTGTGTGTGTGTGTGTGTGCGCTCTCTGTGACGCTGCTGGGATGAGGAGTGGGAGTGTGCAAGGAGTCATCTGGGGTGAATGTGGGAGAAGACTGCACACCAGGGAAGGGTGAGTGGGCAAAGGAGAGTAAGCCCCTTCAGGAGATCGCAGTGACCACCACAGTGGGCTTGAGTGTGTCAGAGACTGTGAGGATGGCGCAGAATAGGGCAAATTTTGGATCTGTTGTTCATAGGGTGGCTTTGAGTTATAGTGGACTTGATGGCATCTAACAATGTTGTTTGGGGCAGATATGTGAAGAGGGGTTCCTGGGCGACTCAGGCTTGATGGAGGGAGCTGGACGTGAATGGGTGGGTATGTGTGGCAGGGAACTTGGGTATGCAGGCCCGGAGGTCCGGGGATAGGATGTGCACCAGGGCGAATGTAAGGAATTGTTGAGGGAAAGAGTGTATGAAGAGCATGTGGGTCTCAGAGGGTGTACGGGACCAGATGAATGGTGGATGGGTGTGTGAACCCAGGATGGTGTGTATGCCGAGATCCACAGAGCAAGGCATGGTTTGGAATCAGTGTGCAACAGGTAAGTGACCTGACATGAGGGCTCCTTGGTGCCTGCCTCTTTCACTCCCTGGACCTGTTTTCCTATCTGTAAAATGAGCCTGAGGGTCATTGAACTAACCAGTCTTTGCCTTGAATCCCTACAGAGACCGGCCTGGAGGTAGATTAGGGAAAGGATGAAGGTGTGACTTCTATAATTCATCATTCTCTTCTTCCTCCTTCCCAGGGCACCGATTCCAGAGTCTTCCCCCCACCATGGACAGCCCCAGTCTTCGAGAACTTCAGCAGCCTCTCTTGTCAGCGGGTGCAGGCAGTGAACTCCCTGCTCAGAAGTCTGACAAACCTGAGCTGGGGTCTCCCTTGAGGGAAACAGCCTTTGCAGAGTGTCTAAGGGGCTGGCAGCCCCCACCACCACCTCTTCCCTCTGTGAGCGCTGGCCTGGGGGAGCTGGACCACCCCGACCTTGAGGTAGGAGCAGCAGGTTTCAGAGGAGGCTGTGATCCGGCCCAGTCATTGCCACCACCTGCCAGACTGGGTAGCTCAGCTCTGGAGTCACTGTTTCCAGCTGTTGATGGGCTTCTAGATTTCGAGTCATGGTCCTTTTCTGTCTCTCCCCTGGTTTCACCCTCTTTGTTTCTCCAAGTTGGTCTTTTGTCTCTGTTCCCCGGCCTCTGCCTCACTCTATGTCTACCTTCTGATCTTTGACCCCCCTATTCTCTATCTGTCCATATCGTCCCAGAGCTGCTGAACCTCTGGCCCCTGTCAGCTCAATGTGGTCTCTTTTTATCCGAGTGGATGTCACTTTTTTTAAAAGTCTCCCATTCTTTGTATCTGTTTGCAGGCTTTTCTTTCATTGCTGTTACATCGTTTTCCTATTACTATTAATGTGTGACAAATTACTCCACAAAGCAGTAGCTTAAAGTAACAGTGGTTATTATTTTTCATTATTTCTGTGAGTCAGGAATTTGGGGAGGACTGAGTTGGAGGGCTAGGGCCTTGCATGCGATTGCAGTCAGCTGGAGCTCGAATAGCTCATGCCAAGACTCTCTGTGACTCTTCCATGGGATCCTCCCTGTTTGGGCTTAGTTGAGCTTCCTTCTATCATGGCGGCTTAAGAACAGTCAGGCTCCTTATAGACCCTTAGCATGAGTGATTCAGCAATGGAGAAGCACCCTCATCTTTCCTGACTTCACCTTGGCAGTCATGCAGATTCCCTCCCAGCTCAATCTATCACTTCCAGCAAGCCCTAAGTCTGCCTGGGCTCAAGATAGAATGCACCCTTTGATAGAAGGCGTATCAAAATCACACTGTAAAGAGAGCCTGTAGGATAGGAGAGATTGTTGTGGCTGTTTGGGGAAGTATCTGCCCCACATAGTGAACATCACTTTTCCATTGTCTGTGTCTGGTGGGTAAAGGAATTACACTGCCAACCCAAAGGCAAGCTGTTTGAGTCCACCAGCTGCTCTGAGGGAGAAGGGTGGGCAATCTCTTCCCATGCAATTTACAGCCTCAAAAACCTATTGAAGTTCATCTATGAGTTGGTTTCAACTTGACGGCAATGAGTTATAAATTCTAGTGTTTGAAGACTCTGAGTGGCACTTGATTTCTGTGGGTTCTTCATTCTTGGTTCCTGTGTACTGAGCTTTTTTTGCCTGGATGTTGGCCATTATGTTTGTGTTGGCAGCAACATGCTATGGACTGCTGCGTACACTGCTCAAGATACTTGAAAAAATAATTTTTAGGACTCACTCGGCCTAGAATGAAGGGGTCTCCTCAGAGAGGATTTGGTGTTTGCTCCTGCCAGCTGCCTGGGCCACACCAGTTAGAGATCATTTTCAAGGCTTGAATGAAAGCTTATATTTGTTGAGATTGGTAACTGCTGACAAGGCAAAAGGGTCATTGTCTGCTAATTTAAGGTCCCTGTTAATGACTTTTCTTTTTTTTGGTTTTACAGTAATTCTTCACAATCTTGTGAGCCTCCGAAAGGATGCTTGTAAGATGTGGAAAAAACCCCATCTGTTTTATCTCAAATCTGTAGTTATTTCCAGCAGGCAGGTTGGTCTGAGACATTTAGGCCACCTTTAGTGGATACCAGAGCAGCTTTCCCTGTTGTTAGGTGTCATCGAGTCAACCGTGATTCATAGTGACCCTGCGAACAAGAGATCAGAAACTTGCCCTCTCCTGTGCCATCCTCACCGACCCTGACCTGAGCCCACTGTGACAGACACTGTGTCACTCCCTCTTGTTGATGGCCTTCCTCCCTTTCTCTGAGCCTCCACCTTTCCCCGCATGGTGTCTTTTCCCAAGGACTGGCCCTTCTTGACAACATGCCCAAAGTCCATGAGATAAAGTTTCACTCTTCTTGCCTCTATGGCTGCACTCCCTAGTCTCCATGGTGTTTTGGGGATTCCTGTCACTGATGGTAAAGCCCTAGTAGAAAAGTGGTTAACAAACTCAGCTGCTAACCAAAAGGCTGACAGTTTGAAGCCGTAGCTGCTCAGTTGGAGAATAGTATGGCAGTCTGCTCCCCCAGAAGTTTAAAGCCTTGGAAACTCTATGGGGCAGTTCTCTGTTCTACAGGGTCTCTGTGAGCTGGAATTGACTCAGTGACCATGACAGTGAGCTTAGTTTGGTTTGTTTGGTTTCTGATGGTATCTGTTCTCACTTTAGGAGTTTCAACTCAGAATTCCTGTGAGTCTTTTGAAATTGGACTGAATCTTTACATTTAGATGAGGCTTTTCCCTCGAGCTAGATGGAATCTTTCAAAGGGATCTGAAATGCAAAATGTCAAGAGCCCAACTTCAACCATCTCCCCGCCTTCGTTTCTCTGGGGAGCCCTGCTCTTTGAGGTCTGAAGATTGGGGTGGGATAGGGAGGTTGAGTAGAGAAGCCCACTTAGTCCCTGCCCTGCCCACAGGACACATCATCCAGTGACAGTGACTCCGACTGGGATGGAGGTGGTCGTCTCTCTCCACTTCTGCCCCACGACCACCTGGGCTTGGCCGTCTTCTCCATGCTGTGCTGTTTCTGGCCAGTGGGCATCGCTGCATTCTGCCTCGCCCAAAAGGTCAGTCTGTGTGTGTGTGTGTGCGTGTGTGTAATGATTCTGTATGCATGTGAATGTGTACTGGGGTGTCTGTGACCACAGACGTGTGTACAGTGTGAGGTTTCTGAGTTTGTATTATTAGCACGTTTGTATTATGTGCATCTCTGTGTGTATTATATGGTATGTGTATGTGTTATATGATTTCTTTGTGTGTTGTGCAGGGTTTCTGTGGGAGTATTGAGTAGTGTCTGCGTGCTGTTTTATGATCTCTCTGAACATTTGCCGGCATTATTTCAGTCTTTGCATGTGTTTGGTCCCTCTGTGTTTGTACTGTGTAATGTCTCCGTGTATGTGTGCGTTGACCAGTGTGTCTATTGTAGGGTATTTCTATGGGTGTGTATATTATATGGCATCTGTGACTGTACTGCACAAGTGTGTCTCTGTGTGTACTGTGTGATGTCTCCTAATGTGTGTGGTGCTTCTCTGTGTGTGTAATATGTGACATCTTGGTGTGTGTATTGTACTTGTGTATTTCTTCCGTGTGCGCATGCTTATGCTGTGATGTCTCAGTATGCATGTATATTGTGTAGTCTCTGTGTGTGTGTGGAGTATGGATGTGTACTTGTATTGTGTGGCTCTTAGTAGATGTGTGTATTATGTGGTCCCTCTGCATGTGTATTGTCTGAGTGTATGTGTATCTGTCGTGTGCTGTCTCTGAATGTACACTGTGTTATGAGGATCTTTGTATGTGTCTGTATGGTGTGGGCCCTCTGCCTGTGTACTGTGTAGTAACTGTGTGTGTTGTGTGCTGTATGTATGTATGTCCCCATGCATGACAGTATTGGTGAGTACTGGGCTCCATTAATTCTCTCATTCAGCAGGTATTTCTGGTATGATTACCATGGATAAGGCACTGTGGTGGGCCCTCAGGTTTTGGTAGGGGAACCAAACAAACATTCGATAGTAAATGGGAATTTAGGATTTACTCAGCTAATAATTACTGAGCGAAGGGAGCTCTGGTGGCCTGGTGGTTAATAAGCTCTGCCTACTCAGAGGCATGTGGTTTGGATCTACCAGCTGCCTTGAGGGAGAAAAATGAATGGTCTCTTCCTCTGAAAACCCTCTGAAGGGTCAGCTAGGAGTTGGTTCTGATTCGACGGCAATGAGTTGAGCGGACTGCATGCCAAGCCCCTGTTCTCAGTACTAGGGACACAGCAGGGAAGCAAGCAAAAATCACTGTCCAGGTGGGAGTGACGTTCCAAGTTGAAGAGAACAGCAAAAACCAGATGAATAAGTAGATTCACAGTAAGCAGCATGACAAGGGAAGACTGTCAAGTAGGGAGAGTGACAGCAAGTGTGGGTGGCAGTGGGAATAAAGTCTTAGATGAGGTGGCCCAGCAAGGTCCCTGGAGATGATGGCATTGGAAGGCAGGAACTGAGCCATGTAGATTCCTGAGAGAAGAATGTTCCTGAAAGAGCGAGCTGCCAGAGAGAGGGGCAGGAGGCAAGAGTGTTCAAAGCCAGGGGCTGGAGGGGAGTGAGGGAGAGAGCGGATGAGAGCAGCGAGAGGCAAGAAGTGATGAGAGAGGGACCAGGCCTGGTGTTATGGTTCTCTGAGACAGGAGAGAGTTGTAGGAGGACCGTGATATGGTGAACACTTTAGGGAGCCAGGGGGAGAAGAGGGGAGACCAGTAAAGAGGAAAAAGAATGAACACAGGGACTCAGGCCCTGGAACAGGAGCTGAAGGACCTGGGCCTTTGGAACAAGTCTCCATAGAACATGCTGGAACCTGCCCAGCCAGGAAGCACTAGGATGCTGGTAAAGGGACGCCTCCTCACAGCTGTGATACAGAAGTGAGCAAGTGTGAGAAGCAGACGCTGTCATCTGTTTATGCTCCCCAGGAAGCAGCAGAAAGCTCATCCGCACTTCCTCTCCAACCAGCAGCAACATCTAGGCACCTCTGACTCACTGCTCCTTCCAAATCTCACCCAACCTCTCCTACACACCTAGTTGCAAAGGCCTCTGGGAAATGTAGTTTTTAAGCTCTCTGACTTCTCTCCAGAGAGAAGGAAATTCACGTTGTGAGAGCCAATCTAAGGACAGGAGAATTTCAACTAGTCCTTGCTTTCCTGAAATTTATAGTTCTGATGGTCTGCATTGATGTCACCTAGATAATCCTGTAAACACAAATAAAATTGATGCTTGATTAGATATGCAAAGCAGAGATGGGTATGCAAGGAAAGAAAACAAAACCCCAAACGAGTTGTGATGCAGTGGATTCCAACCCATGGAAACCCCATTCAGTGGCTGTTCTGAAGTAGATAACCAGGCCTTTCTTGCGAGGCCATTTCTAGTAAACTCCAACTGTTAACCCTTGGGTTAGTTAGCAGCTAAGGTTTTGCAATACCCAGGAACTTCATGTAGTGCATTAATTAACTCATTGCTGGCAAGTCACAACCAACTGCTAGCGGCCCTCCGGTGGATTTTTGTTCCCTCTTTCCAAATTACCAAGGAGCAATGATGTCAGTTAGAGGACTAAGGTGTGCCTGATTCAGGCCTTGGTCTTTTCAATCACTTCCTATGCATCTGAGACATGGAGAATGAATAAGGATGACAGAATAAAATTGATACCTTTGAGTTGTGGTGGAGAAGAAAACCGAATATCCTATGAACTGTCAAAAGAACAAACAGATATGTGTTAGAGAAAGTACAGCCAGAGTGCTCCTCTGAGGCAAAAATGACAATGCTTCTTCTCATATACTTTGGGTATGTTGCTGGGAGGGGGTATTCCTTGGAAAGGTACATCATGCTTGGAAAGGTAGAAGGTGGCAAAAGAGATGAAGACTGTCAGACAGAGGAATTGACACAGTGACTACTGGCTCAATTAAGTCAGAAATGATGAAAATGGCATAGGATAGGAAAGGATTCATAGGGTTGTAGGGTCACTTTGAGTTGTACTCAACTTGACAGCACAACAACAATAACAACTGCAAATCGTGCAGGAGGAGCTTGCCTATCTCTCTCATGGAGATACTGGTGGACTTGAACTGTCAGAAAGGTGCCAGACTGTGCCACTCTCCATGTGGTGCAAAGGGGCATTTAATAGTGGAATTTTACCCCCTTGTGAAGGTTTGACACAATTCCACAAGACAACTATGCTTTAACTCAGCTTTAAGCTGGGATCTGAAGGCTCAGGCAGGGTTAACGGAGCAATGGTGAGGTGTGTCACATGCTAGGTAACTTCTGCTCAGATGTCACTTCTGCCCTGGGTGTCATATTTAAAGCAGCACCCTTCCCATCACTCGCTGACCCTTTATTTACTACACAGCATCAATCAGTATTTAGAATGATTTCTCTTTTCAATTTCTCATTTCAAGTTTTCTTCAGTTTGTCCCCTGCTAGCAAGTGATCTCCACAAGGGCAAGGATTGTCCTGTTTTATCACTTAATCCCTAGTGCCAGACATATTATCTGCTCTCAAATATTTGTGAAATGCATGCCTGCAAGTAGGCAAGAATGAATGAATTCAGAACTATCACTAGTAGAAATGATTTGAGTGGAGGACATTCTTCTTCTTGTTGTGTACCATCAGACTGGAACCAACTCATAGCAAATCCTCTAGTGGGTTTTCAGAGGCTTTAAATCATGTTGGAGGTATGGAGCTCTGGTGGCCTAGTGGCAAGAAGCTGCACTGCAGTCCCAGAGGTGTGTGGTTCAAATCCACTAGATGCTCTGCTGGAGAAGGAGGGGCAATCTCCACCTGTACCAGTCAGATCTGATTTGATGGTACACACACACACACACACACACACACAATACATAAAATAGTAAAATTTAAAAAAACCCCATCATGTTGGAGGAGACTGCCCATCCTTTTCTCATCATGCCTTTGGGATTGCAGGGCAGCTTCTTACCACTAAGCTACCAGAGCAGCAGCAGCTGCTGCTTCTTCTTCTCCTTCTCCTTATGAATTTTAATGAAAGTTTACAGAGACTTAGGATTTCCATTCATTCATTCATTGTTGCACTTTTCTCCCCCACCCCCCCACCCCGGCAGCTTCTTACCACTAGGCTCTTCAAGACACTACACTAGCACTAATAGAAATATCATATGAGTCAAATACATAATCTAGAACTTTTTAGTAAGTCCATTAAGAAAAGTAAAAAAGAAATAGATGTAATTGCTTTCAATGACACAGCATAACCTGTGAGAGCCAGAACTCAACAGGACTGCCTTGTTTGTCCGAGTCTCCCAAGTTTTCTACCACTGCTGAGTGCTTTTCTCTGGCTTCTGTACTAAAAATCCTACTGGAGAAGCCTTCCATGAGTTTTCCATCTTACACAAACCCCAGCTCTTACAGTTTTCACTGTATTTTGAGTCCCAGTGACACAATCTGCAGGGAGTTGCACTGTTAACTCAAAGACGGTATCTCTCTGGCAGTTTGAATCCACAAGAGGGGCCTCAGGAGAAAAATGGGCAATCTCTTCACTGGTTTACAGCTTCAGAAAACCCACCAGAGGGCCAGTTATAAGACAGTTTTGACATGTCAGTAATGAGTTTTTGAGGACGTAACCCCACTGTGGATCACAACAAACTGTGGCTGACTCTGAGAAGAATGGGAATCCCAGAACATTTGATTGTGCTTGTGCGAAACCTATACTTGGACCAAAATGCAGTTATCAGAACAGATCAAGGAAACACTACATGGTTCAAAATTGGGAAGGGTGTACACAAGGGATGTATTCTGTCTCCATATCTTTTCAATTTATATGCAGAACAGATAATCCAGGAGGCTAGGCTCTATGAGGAGGAATGTGGCAGCAGTATTGGAGGAAGACTGATCAACAACCTGCGTTACGCAGATGGCACAACCCTGCTCGCTGAAACTGGGGAGGACCTGAAGCACTTGCTGCAGAAGGACAAAGACTGCAGCCTTCAAAATGGTTTAAAACTCAACATCAAGAAAACAAAGATTTGAGCTCTGGTGGCCTAGTGGCAAGAAGCTGCACTGCAATCCCAGAGGAACATGGTTTTAATCCACCAGATGCTCTGCTGGAGAAGGAGGGATAATCTCCTCCTGTACCATTCAGATCCAATTTGACAATACACACAAACACACAAAATAATGAAGAAAACAAAGGTTCTCACCACAGGCCAACTGGCAGCATTATGATAGATGGTGAAGAGATTGCTATTGTTAACAGCTTCAGTTTGCTTGGCTCCACAATCAACACTCTTGATACCAGCAGCCAAGAAATCAGTAGGTGAATTGCATTGTGAACGTTGGCTGTCAGTGACCTCTCCAGAGTATTGAAGAGCAACAGCATCAGTTTGGAGACTAAGGTGCGCCTGATCCAGACCAGTCTTTGCAACTGTTTGCTATGCATCAGAGAGCTGGACAATGACTAGGGATGATAGAAAGATAATTGCCTTTGAGTTGTGGTGCTGGAGAAGAGTATTGAATATACCATGTACTGCTAGAACAAATGGGTTCTCCTAGAGAGGGTGAGACCAGGCTGCTCCATGGAGGCAAGGATTCTGAAGCTTTGTCTGACATACTTTGGACATGTTGCAAGGCAAATCCAGTGCTTGGAGAGGGATGTCGTGCTTGGGAGGATGGAGGAACAGTGCAAGAGAGGAAGACCCTCAATGAGATGGATTGACTCAGTGACTGGGGTAATGGAGGTAGGTGTGGCAGAGACAGTAAGATTGGCACAAGATAGAGCAGGGTTTAGGGCTGTTGTACATAGGGTCGTTATGAGTCACAGGCAACTTGATGGCACATAACAACAACATGTATGTTAAGGACAGCTCTGATCGCCTAGTGGTAAGAAGCTGTGCTACCATGTTAAGGGCAGGCAAGCAATATCCTCTCATGTGATTTACTGAAAACCCGTGGGAAGGTCAGCTACAGGTTGGTTCCAACTCAGAGGCACACCCCACCCCCAACCCCACCCATGATAGGTACTCCTGTTTGAAATATGTGTTTAGACTGAGTGGGAGCGGCTGGAGTTGGGAGCCTTTGAGATGTCTGGGTCACTGCTTTTCACTTACTCCACAGACCAACAAGGCTTGGGCCAAGGGGGACTTCCACGGGGCAGGGGCTGCCTCCCGTCATGCCTTCCTGCTGGGCGTCCTCGCTGTGGGACTGGGCGTGTGCATGTATGCAGCAGCCCTGGTCACCCTGGCAGCCTACCTCGCCTCCCGTGATCCACCCTAGCTGCTCCTGTGGCCCCTGCTGTGAACCAAGGCTGGTGTCCAGCGCATCTTGCAGGCAGAGTGGAGAAATGCCAGTGAATGGACTTGGAGAAGCAGCCAGAAGCTGTTGCAGGTTGGCCAATCCCCTCCCTATCCTTTGCTCATTGGCAACGTGAGATTAAACATTCTTGCAGCCAAATGTGTGTCTTGTCCATGTGTGGCAAAAGTGGGTGGGGCTGGGGTCCCTTAAAATCCAAAAGGGATGAACCAGGGTGAAAGGCTGTATAGTGGGTGTTCCTGGCACTTCCACGCCAGGGAAGGTGGAGTCAGCGTCTAACTAGAGAATGCTTTCTTTACAACTTGGTGGTCTAGCACTGCAGTTACGCTAGCTAGCTTGGGCCCACGTTAGATATCTTTGAACCTCATTTCCCCCCCTCATATGCAAAAATGGGCCGACTTTTCTCCACTGTTCAGGGCTGTAGTGAGGATTAAGCGATGTCACATCTCACAGCGCCTTAAACAAAGGGGAAGTGAGAATGTTGAGATGGAGTTGGCTTCAGGCATGGCTGGATTCTGGGCCCCAAAAGTTTATGCTCTGCCCTTGGGTCTTTTCTTCTATTGACTCATTCTGAGTCAGGATCACCCCTCTTGGGAAAGAAATGGCCCCACACAGCTCAGGCAGCTTCAGTTGGCTAAGAAACCCTCTATCTCAGGCTGACGTCCTGGGGTGAGGTGGCGGGCAGTCTCATCTGAATGAAATTTTAAGTTGGGTGGGTCCTGAAGGAATCAGAGAGGACAAGGGGGCATGCTGGGCAGGCCACCCGGATGTCTGCTACAAGTGCTGAACAGAGGCACTTAAGAGTGCTAATCAGGACAATAGCCTGTCAATGGCAGGATTCTCACTCTCCTCAGAGCACGTCAAGTCAACAACTCATAGCGACCCATTCTGAACCCCAGATCAGAACCTAGCCCTATTATGTACCATGGACCATTGCAGTGTCTCTCTGGGGGGAGATGGGCTCGTTTTTTCTCTCCAGTGCCATACACAGCCATCTCCTCATGTCAGTAGAGGTTTGTATGAGTTTTAGGATACTGAACATGTGTTAGCAGAGCTTCTAGACCAAGACAGACTAGGAAGAAAGGCCCGGTGACAATCAGTCCATAAAAGCTACGGAGCACCATGGTATGGGGATGGTGCAGGAGTCCGCTGGGCGTCACCTTGCTGTCCTATCACATGGGATTGATATGAGCTGGAGCTGACTCAATGGGAAACACATTCTCAATCATAAAGGGATAGTCTTCTCACAGCATGCTGATATGTCAGTGGGTCTTGCTATAAGAAAACACTGTTCCTCATGTGGCCTTCTTCTAATTCTCTCATATGGCATAATTTCAAGCTGAACTGATTTGAGTTCCCTTGTTGGTTACAGGGGAGATGACACCACCTGGCCCGCATGGCGGCTGTGGGACTTCTAATAGCTGGAGCATGGGAAGACTGAAGCAATTCGAGTCTGACAATCATGCTCCTTCAGCTAGGACAGTGCGGTGGTTAAGGAGTTGGGTTAACTGGGCTAGGCCACAGTTCCTGGGGTTGTGCAGTTAGGTAGTTGGAGAGCAACAGTGTCAATCACACCAAGGTGTGCCTGGTTTAGGTCATGGTCTTTGCAATTACTTGCTATGCATCAGAGAGCTGGACAATAACTAAGGATGATAGAAGAAGCTATGCCTAGGAGTTGTGGTACTGGAGGAGTACTGAACATACGGTGGACCATCAAGAGAATAGGTCTGACCTGGAGAGGGTGAAACCAAGCTGTTCCTTGGAGGCAAAGGAGTTTGAAGCTCTGTCTCACATGCTTTGGGCACGTGGCCATGAGGGACCAGTCCTTGGAGAAGGACATTGTGCTTGAAAATGTGGCAGGACAGTGCAGGTGAGGAAAACCCAGGATGAGATGGATTGACAATGACTGGGGAAATGGCGGTAGGTGGGTTTGAGTCAGCGAGACTGGCTCAGGACAGGGTAGGGTTCAAGAGCTACTGTATGTGTGGCTATGAGTTGTGATTCGATGGCACACACCATTTTCCATTCTGTGATATAGTCATCACCCCAATGATGTCATCTGCCAGTCATCTGAAAGGGGCACTTCCTCGGGGGTGGGACTTGGGTTTTGGCAAAGCATGCCGACATTTGCTTGCTTTGGAGCCTGCATCTGGCTTGGCATCATTTGACCTCCGGTTCTTGGGACATGTGCCAGCAGCTTGCTAACTTGCCTCATCTTCAGTTTGTTCAGCTAGACAAGCGGTTTATCTTGGATTTTTCAATCCCTTAACTACAAGTCAGAAGCTTTCAGCCTGACACCTGACTCACAGACTTGACTTAGGGAAATCTCTCATTTTCTTCACTTGTTTTGCCCCTCGAGCCCATCCTTACAGCTGCTATCAAGTAGACTCTTACTCATTGTGACTCTGCCTAATAGAACAGAAAGCTGTCTGGTCCTGTGTCATTCTCAGGGTCAATCATGCAGGTCCATCATTGTGGCCAGTGTGCTAATCCACCTCACCGGAGGGTGAGAACGCTTCCTCCAGTGACCGATCTCTTAGGATTCTGGGCATCTGAATCAATCAAGTCAGACAATGCCCTCTCATGGTGATGCATAGAGTGAATTTCTGGCAGGAGACTGCCCTGCCCCTCCCCTCCCCCATCTCTGTCTGGAAGCTTTGTTAAAATCTATCATGGGGCACTCTGCTGGAATTGGATGAGTAGTGGTATTTTCATCCCAAACCTCCTTCTTAGAGTGAAGGCCTGATGGGACCCTGTGATGAAACATCCATGTGGGACATTCTCTGAGGGATGATTGAACTATCACCCCCCAAAACGGATATACATGATGATGTAATGTGAAGTCAAGAGTGATTTCCCATGATCTGTTAAGCCAACAATTGTGTAAGGATTAAAGGTGGGATGCAATGTTTTTAATCCTATCACATCCTGGGGGATGGCCTGTAGCATCTTTTGTCTCACAAGAGTTGAACAGGGAGGAAAGCAAACAGAGGGGAGGGACCTCAGTTCAACCAAGAAAGAAGGACCAGGAGCAGAGTGTGACTTTCCAACTGAGAACCCTGTGCTGGGAAATTTCCTGACACAATTTCTCCAAACACTGTTGAACCTATGGATGTTGAAGGAAACAACTTTGCTCTAAAAGTGCAATAATTTCTGTTAAAGGTATATACTCAGGACAGGAGATCAGAAAACATATTGTACTGGGAGAAGTCTATAATGAGGGATCTCACTAAATTATTGAGAAGTAATGATGTCAGTTTGAGGACTAAGATGCACTTGATTCAGGCCATGGTCTTTTCAGTCACATCTGAGAGTTGGATAATGACTAATGACAGAACTGATGCCTTTGAACTGTGGTGTTGGAGGAGAATGTTGAATATCCCACAGACTGCCAAAAGAACACACAGATATGTCTTGGAGAAGGTGCAGCCAGTGTTCCTTGGAGTCAAAGATGGTGAAGTTTTGTCTCTCATACTTTGGATACGTTGCTAAGAGAGGGTATTTCTTGGAGAGGGACATCATGCTTGGGAAGGCAGAGGAATGTGAAGGGGAGGAAGACCCTCAACCAGGTGGATTGACACAGTGACTGCAGCAATGGGCCTGAGGGTGTTGGAGATTGTAAGGATGGCGCAGGATAGACAGGGTTCAGATCTGTTGTTTGTAGGGTCGCTGTGAATTGTGCTCAACTTGATGGCACCTAAGTAGTATCTCTAAGGGAACCTGGAGGCCTAATGCTAAGAAGGTGCACTGCAATCCCGATGGCACACAGTTCAAGTCCACCAGCTGCTCTGCGGGAGAAGGATGGGCAATTTCCCCCTGTGTGATTAACTGCCCCTGAAAAGCTGCCAGAGGGTCAGGTTCTGACTCAATGGTGACGTGGTATCAAAGTTACAGCAGCACTAGATGAGCAAGAGAGATGTTCACATCTTTGGCTCCTGCCCCCTAAATACTTGGGGGGGGAGGGCAGTGCAGGGAGTGTGTACAGTTAAAGGGCAATTAAGTTGCCCCCTGTTCCCAAATGCTCCCCAGGAGTGTTTCCACCCTGTTCAAGAATCAGTAACAGCAATACCTTCTATTCACAGTTGAAGAACTACAGCCCCCGATGTGTGGATACCGCTACCTTGGGTTCAGTCTGTCTATGAGGGCTATGGACCAGGACTGACCATGGACAAACTGGGTGTCACCAATGGAAGTAGTGATGAACTAACTGGCTTCTGAGTCTGCTTATCTATAAAATGGGGAGGGTAGCAACAGCTCCTCTCGTGGGGTTACTGGGAGGACAGAGGAAGCACGTGCAGCCACATTCTTGTCCAAGGTGCCCTGGTCCTCTTTTAGCCCTTGGTCACTTTCCTCGAGCCACACTGGTCTCCAGCATGCAAGTCGTCTTCTCCACATGTATCCCGGGGCATGGTCCTTCCCTCCTCCATGCAGCTTCTCTGTGGTGATTTCCCAGACTCACACGTTAAACTGCACTCTCCAAATCCACTCTCTTCTTGCCCTCCGTCCCCACTTTTCACAGACTTTCCCTCTGTCTGCTAACCACTTGTTCTAACCCATCTGTCACTCCTTGACTCCGAGGGCCAATTCCCAGGACGTGCTTCACAGGGAGTTGCTGGAAGCAAGGCACACTGACTCATTCACGCAGGAGTGTGACACTCATCAGTAGTGCTGTCCACGAGGCTCAGCTCTCCCTGCCTCCTAGGCCTGCGGGCTGTGTCTGAGCTCCCTCGGCTCCTCAGGGAGTGGCTCTGTCCCCTGCCCTGCAATTCCTCACCATCACCTCACAAAAGCATGTGCGACAGAGAGGTGAGGTAGGGTGACTGGTTTATTTTACACTCGAGGCAGTGACAGCAGCAGGGCCCTTGCACCGCTCTTGCCTCAGCTCTTGGAGTAACGCCTCTGCAGTGATTCCCGGAAGAAGCGGAAGACATGCTGGGAGGCAGACTGGGCTGCGGCCAGGCACTGCTGAAGCTGGGAGGGGAGAGACTTGGTCAGTGTGGGGATCTTGTCCTGGACCCACACTCCACGCTGCCCATTTCATGGCTTCCCAGAATCCCCAAACCTACAACCTCCTCCAGGTGATGGGGGATTGCAAGACCATTTCCAGAGTCCCTGGCTGGTGCGTAAGCAACTGTATAACCAACCGACTGAGCTGCTAACTAAATGGTTGGCAGTTTGAACCCACCAGTTGCTCTGCAAGAGAAAATGGGCAGCCTCCTCCCCTCACGGTTTACAGGCTGGGAAGCCTGATGGAGGGTTACTGAGTAGTTGGGTTTGGGTGGGTGGTGCATACAGTTGTGGTTGGAAGTTTGTGTTCACCAAGACGCCCTTGGAAGGCTGGCCTGGTGATTTACTTTCAAAAGAGTGGTCAATTAATTTGTGGAACAGAGTTCTACCCTGACACACGTGAAATCCCCTTTGAGTTGGAGGTGACTAGATTGCTATGGTTGTTTCCTTTTTTTTATGTCTCCTTACTTCCAATTTCAACAGGAGATGGATTCTGGCATGAGATTCTGGGAGCTACAGGACATTCTCAAGTCACTACCATGGAGGTGACCCTCCAGTAGGTTTCCAGCTGTAAAGCACACGGGAGGAGGTTGTTCTTTTTCCCTCAGAGCTGATAGTAGATTCAAACAGGCAGAGAGGTTGTTAACCCTTGGATTAACAGTGCAACATATGGACTGGGCTACCAGAGCTCTCCACAGAACTGGAGAATGAAATTAGACTTCCTGGCCACACTCTCCTGGGGGTGGGAGGGGAGATTCTGATACCTCGGTGTTGGAGTAGAGCCCCTTGGTGGTAGACATCAGCAGCTTCTGTTCCACGCTGTCAAGGGCAAAGGTCAGAACTGCCCGGGCCTCCTAGGGACAGAAGGTGGTTAGTGACCTGGGATGCATTCTCAGGAAAAATCAGACCAAAATAGGAGGAGGGCCCAGAGCCTCAGCCTCAAGATTTTGTCCTTCCCACAGCCAGGCGCCCATAAATCAAGTGTCTACACCTGAATCCCTTGCTGATGTGAAGCAACTCTCTACCTTCCCTTGGAGGAACTATTTCCCATGCTACTCATTCCAACCACCTTGTTCTCATGGGAACGTTCAAAGCACAGCTTCCTGCTCACTGGGGTGGCCACAGTGCTAGGCATTTACCTGGTGCCTCGGGCTCCTGTCTGCCCTTCTGTGCTCCATACTACAAGGGCTAGGTGTCAGCTAAGGTCTCAGATTTCTTTGCCAATTGGGTTCTACCACTAATCTGGTGGAAGACTGGAAGAAGGGAGAGGAAAGCATCCTATAGTCATCTCTCTGACAGTGACAGGAGCTTCCTGGTGGTTGCATGGAAGCTGTGGTTGGGTGGGCTCTAGACCGCAAGCAGCCATGGCAGAGGCAGGACCTCTCCTGTCATCCAGAAAAAACTGTGACAATGTCTCCAACAGCACAGGGCAGGAGCAGGCTTCAGCCTGGCATCACTTTGCCTGAGATACTCTGAGCAGTTTCTGTTTTACTGACAGGATATGAACATTAGAGTCCTGGGCAAAAAAACTCGGAACAACCAGATCCTAGGATACTATGAATGCGAGCTGGTTAGGAAAGCTCACTTCTCTTCTCCTTTGCTTTTGAACCTTAAGAGGGAAGCTCAAAGAACCAGTTCCAGTCCCAAGAAAGACAATGGAAAAAACAGAATGAAGGTGATATGCAGAAAAAAGCAGGGATTAGAAAAAAAGAATCAGGTGTCTGAGGTCCTAGTTTACTGCCTTCCCTGCTCTTTCTGAATTTGGTAATAAAAGCCAGCAGCCCTTTTTTGAATAAGATAGTTTGACTTGGGTCTCTAGTATTTGCAGTTGAATAGGACCTTGATGAGTAAATCAGAGTGTGCCAACTGGTAATGAGGTCTAGCAGAAGTGGAGAGGGTAACTGGACTGCCTTCCAGCACCCCTGGCTTTCACCTACCTTTTCTTGCTTGGCTGTGGGGTCCAGCACGAGATTCCCATCAGAGTCCAGGGCACAGGTAACCCCACAGAAGAGGGCTCGCATGGGCACACCTGCATCCACCAGTGCCATGCAGGCAGCATTCAGGCAACAGGCCAGGAGCTTAGTATCACAGGAACCATTAAGAAAAATTTCTACTGTATGATTGGCTGGCCAGCTGAATATATTTGTGCTTCCATGCATCTTGCTGGTGCCTGTGGCAGACATCATAAATCTATCACAGTACCCAGTCGATCTTTGTGGTAGGCATCACTAATCTATCATAGAAAGGCAGTATTGCAGAGTGGTTAAAAGTTCTGGAATGGGAAAGAATAGTCTAAGCAGAAAAGTAGTGGGGAAATAAAAAAAAAAGTAGTGGAAGAATCATGAAGGAAAAAGCTGACTGACTTAACAACATAAAAATTAAAAATTTCTAAATGTTGTGAAAGTAAAATGCTTTTATACCAAGTATAGAAATTTAGTACAAAAAAATTACAATATAAAAACAAAGAGCCAGACAGATAATTTCAAAAGGGAAAATATAAATAGTAACCATTAGAATAATGTCCAATCTCACAAATAAAAATGTGCATATTAATAAAAGTATGTGTTATGGAATCAAATGACCCTGGGTGTCAGACCTTGAGCAAGTGAATTATTGTCCTTAAGCTTCAATCTCCTCCTCCTCTATTAAATGGAAAAACATGATAGTCTAACAACTTTATGCCAATGTTATGTGCCCAGTATAATCGAGAGACACTGAGGACCAGAAGCTTTCCAAAGTTTATGCCTGTGGCCAGTATCAGGTGATATAGCTGGCAGGCTGAAAGAGGAACAGCAGACCTTGTCCCTGGGGAAGCCACAGTCTAGGGCAGGGCCATGACCGTAACACAGCAGAAGCCCTGGAGTCACACGGCAGGGCCTGACTCAGTTTTCTCATCTGTTTTCCCCCAATATCTAGCACAGATAAGAATTCCAGGTCTGTTGCTGCCCCCATTACATCCCTTCTGTATAAAATAAAGGTCACACAGATCTTCTCTCTCTGCTAGTTGTTGGGCCATGCACCAGTGGGGCTCTTAAATATATGCCAGTTTCCGGTCTTCACTCTTAACCTGTCTTCCCAAACTGTAGGGAATCTTTCCAGGCTAAACTCCTGCACCTGAGCCTCTAACCCAAATGCAGAGTCAAGGTCAATGAAGTCAGACAGGCCTGGCTTGAGCTCTGCCTCTGCTGCCTTCTGGCTGGGTGATGCTGAGTAAAGTGACTTTCCCTCTCTGCATGTCAGTTTCCTCACCTTAAAAATGGGATCATAATACTTAGAAAACCCTAAAAACTCAGCAAGACTACTACTGGACATAGTTGATCAAGTCAGCAAAGTAGCAGGATACAAAATCAACATACAAAAATCAACTGGATTTCTCTACAGTGACAAAGAGCTGGAGCTAAGAAAAACAATACCCTTCACAATAGCTAATCACAAGATTAAATACTTGGGAATAAATCTAACCAGAGCACAAAGGATCTATCCAAAGAAAATGACAAAGCATTACTTCAAGAAACAAAAAGAGACCTGGACAAATGGAAGAACATACCTTGGTCATGGATAGGAAGACTCAATATTGTGAAAATGGCAATACTACCAAAGGCAATTTATACGTTCAATGCAATCCCAATACAAATACCAATCCCAGGGGAGCTCTGGTGGCCTAGTGGCAAGGAATTGCAACTACAATCCCAGAGGCGCACTGTTCGAATCCACCAGACGCTGTGCCGGGGAAGGAGGGACAATCTCCTCCTGTACCAGTCAAATCTGATTTGACGGTACACACACACAAAAATAATAATTTCATTTGGAATAGAAAGAGGCCCCAAATAAGCAAAACACTCCTTAAAAAGAGAAAACAAGGTGAGCTCTGGTGGCCTTGTGGCAAGACACTGCACTGCAAGCCCAGAGATGGATGGTTTGAATCCATCAGATGCTTTGCTGGAGAAGGAGGGACAATCTCTTCCTGTACTAGTCAGATCTGACTTGATGGTACACACAAAAAAATAAAAAAAATTATTTTTTTTTAAAACGAAGGTAGGAGGCATCTCAATCCCCGATTTCAAATCCTACCACACTGTGTGGTGGTCAAGTCAGCGTGGTACCGGTACAGACACATAGATCAATCAAATAGAATTGAGAACCCAGAAATCAGCACATCTACCTATGGTCAACTGATTTTTGACAAGGAGATGATATCAGTTAAGGGGGGAAACAACAGCCTTTTTAATAAATGGTGTTGGCAAAATTGGAAAACTATCTGCAAAAGACTCAAGCAAGAGCTACACCTCACACCATATAAAAAAACCAACTCAAAGTGGATCAAGGACCTAGGACTAAAACCAAGGACTTCTTTAGAACTGTAGAAGCCCTAATCCACAATATAAAGTCTTCCAATATGGGAAGCCAATACTAAATATTTGTAATAAATTGAATGCTATTTCAGGATGGAATTCACCCTGAGGCACCAAGGCAATCCTTAAGGGTTTACCGGATTCTTTCATTATATTTGCTGACCCTTCCATCTTGAGTCAAGGGAAGGTTTTCAGTAGAAAGAACTTGGCTTCATTTTACTTCCTGATTTTCAATATAGAGGGAAGCTGGAATCGGGGCCCTTCAGTCAATGAAACTGTTGGCCACCTGTCTTTACTCTCTGTTTTATCTCATTCTTGGTTGTGTGTCTCATTATTAATAATTATAAAAATACTTTACCCTTGATCTGCAACATTCCAAGCATCCTGAAAAACCTACAACCAGGAGAGGACAAAACAGATGAATGGGACCATCCATCTAAGAATCAAATCCCTATGCACATCCAAAAACTTCTCCAACAAGGTAAAAAGGGAAGCCACAGACCGGGAAAACAGTATTTGATAATGACATATCTGATAAGGGACTTATATCTAGAGTTTATAAAATATTTGAGCACCACAACACGATAAAGGAAAACAACCCAAATGAAAAATGGACACAGGTATGACTAGACATTTCATCAAAGAAGACATTCAGATGGCAAACAAACACATGAAAAAATGTTCAAAATCCCTAGCTGTAAGAGAGATACAAATCAAAACAACTATGAGATATCATCTCACTCCAGTAAAAATATAAAATTTAACAGAACAGCAAACAACAAATGCTGGCGAGGTTGCGGAGAAACTGAAACCCTTATTCATTGTTGGTGGCAGTGTAAGATGGTGCAACCACTATGGAAGGCAGTAAGGCACTTTCTCAACAAGTTGGAAATACAAATACCATTTGACCCAACAATTCCACTACTGGGAATATACCCTAAAGAAACCAGAACTGGCCACCCAAGCAGATATTCACACACTATTTTTACTGTGGCTTTGTTCACAATAGCAAAGAGCTGGAAACAACCCAAGTGCCCATGATTAGGTGTTATTGAGTCCAGAATGAAAGCTGCAAAGTGGAGTCGACTGGGGGTGGATTGTATAACAATGAAAGAATTTTTTCTTTTATACTTTTCAAAGAGAAAAGCGCACTGGGGGAGGGGTGGGCAGGGAGGAAAGTGTGCAACAATGAATGAACGGAAATCCAAAGTCTCTGTAAACTTTCATTAAAATAAAAAAAATTCTCCAAAACAAAAAAAACCTAGGATACGTAGTAGGAAATATACAAAAATCTAAATGGACTGAGGGTGAGGATGGGGGGAATTCCCGGGGTCACAGAGTTTGGTGATCAGAGGGACAAACTGAAGGAATTTAGGAAAAATCCAGTGGGGATCTGAAAAGACAAGGTGATAGTGGGCATAGATCAATGGAGATTAATTTTATAAAATACGTTTGGGAATGATCTTATGAAATACAATGCATATGAATGAAACACAAAAACAAACAAACAAAAACGGGATCATAAGAACACCCATCCACCAAGCTCCTTGGGTCCTGAGTCTGGGCAATGACTAAGCTGTGTGACTGTGCTGCCTCAGTCTCTTCAAGTGCAAAACGAGGATGGCATCTACTTCACAGGTCAGCCCTGAGCATTAACTTGAGTTCATATTAACTGAGTTAATATGTGTAAGGTGCTGAGAACAGAGTCTGGCATACAGCAAGTACTCTACCTGTCTGCTATTCTTCTTCAGTGAGCTAAGGTCCTCTTCTAGCTAGGAGAGGGAGGGAATGTGTCTATCAGCAAGGAACACAATTGGGGAGATCCTGGAGGGCTTCCTGGAGGAGGAGGAAGAGGAGGAAACCAAACAGGGAAAAGGATACTGAACCAGCATCGCTGACAACCTGCAGCACCACGGTGATGGAGGTGCGGGGGTGCAGCACCCCCAGCACCACCGCCTCACATGTGTTCCGGATCAGTCGCTCTCGGCTCTTCTCTGCAACACCTGGGGGAGTGCAGGGCAGGGATGAGACTATTCCATTCAAGAAACTTACTCAAACCAAGCCAAAGCCAAAGCCAAACCCACTAAGGCTGAGCTGATTCCGAGTTCCAGAGACCCTCTACTGGGTTTCCAAGGCTGTAAATCTTAATGGGAGATGACTGCCTTGTTGTTTTCCACTGCCATGGATGGTGGATTCGAACTGCAAACCTAGCATGTAACCCACTATACCCCTAGGGTTCCTCAAGCCCTGGCTGATGGTGGATTTCCAGTGGGAAAGGAGGCCTGAGTGTCATCTGCCCGCCCCTGTACCCTCCAGGTCCAGTAAAGAAGTAGATCAAGGGGTGGGGAGATATGGGGTTTCTCATGTCTCATGCTATATCCCACTCCCATCGCAGTGGGCCCAGCACCCCCAAAGTGAGGGAGGCAGAGGTCAGGGAGTAAGGCAAAGCAGGGCCCAGGAGAGCGCAAGGGCAGTGGATGGAGAGAAAAACGTGGGGGCAAAGAGAAGTGGCAGAAACAGAGACAGACAGAGAAAGACAGAAGTCTTTCAGGGAGAAGAGGGAGGCGTGGAGCTGAGACAGCAGCCAGGGAGAAGATGAGTGAGGGCTGCTCAGAGGCTCCACTGGGCATGGTCACCTGGCAACCCGATCTTCGGCCTCAGGAGCACTTCTAGTGTGGCCTTGTTGAAGATCTCTTTGCTGACCTTCACTTCAGCTGGCCCATACACACCCGCCAAGACAGAGGTATCACCTGGAAGGAGAACAAGAAGGGATGTCACCCGGGGAGCTCTGGTGGCCTAGTGGTAAGGAGCTGCAACTACAATCGCAGAGGCGCACGGTTCGAATCCACCAGATGCTCTGCCGGGAAAAGGAGGGACAATCTCCTCCTGTACCAGTCAGATCTGATTTGACGGTACACTCACACAAAAATAATAAAAAAAAAAGAAGGGATGTCACCCACACCCAGTCAGCATCTGGGCCCCCTGTGGGTCCGCAACAGGATGGGCATGAATCCTGTCGGCCAGATCTCCCTGTGCCACCCCTGGCCTGTCTCTGCTCCCTAACCTGAAAAATGAGGATAATAAAAATACAGCAAAACCTGAGGAGGCTAGAACCTGTGTGAGGTGGAAACATGCCAGAGAAAGAAAATGTAAGGAAGTATTTTCCACGAATAGGAGAGATGATGAGACCGCGCTCTGTCAAAGACAAAAAAGTTATTAGACTGGGAAAAACCCGTGCCACTGGGTTCCTGCTCTCAGGGCTTCATTGTCTCTTCCTCATCACGGTCTTATGAGCATCACAGGAGTGACTCCACGTGAGAGGTTTAGAACACAGCCTAGTACGTGGAGAGGGTGCAAGGATGCCGAGCTGCGAGCCTGTCAAACATTCAGAATGTTCCTGTGCAATCTCAATGCTTCCCAGTCTCCAAGACACCACTTCCAGCACTCCATTAGACAATATTCTACTGTGAATCCATACACTTTTAACGCGGCTCACTTTCAAAAGTAGAATATGCCACAATGAACGAATGAAAACCCAACCTGTTTATAAACTTTTGTTAAAAATCAAATAAATACTGGTGGCAAAGCTTCCAGCATTACTGCAACATGCCAGCCACCACAGGAAGACCAACGGACTGATGGGAGTGAGGATGATATGCTGTTGTTTGGTGCCATCAAACTTGACTCTAACTCACAGCGACCCTATACTCAACACAACAAAACCCTGCCCCATCCTGTGCCAACTGTACCCATGGACAGACTGTGAAGATGGCATAGGAAGAAGAGACAAACTTTAGCTAATGGTATTGCTTTTGTGGGAAGTTTTTCCTGAGAGCTAACACATGTCTCTTTTACTGCAGCTGGTCTCAATTGGTCCTTCCAAAGCTTCCCCAATCCCTGCAGCAACCGGGACATCTGAGAAAGGGGTGCTTATCTGCTGGATTCTTGCTTTTCCCCCTAGAGTGGGTTTGACAGAGGCGAGGAGGAGGAGGAGGAGGAGGAGGAAACAAACAGCCTGGGGACCAGACCTCTCTGCCTCAGCTTAGCTGTGTAATCTCAGCTGACTGTTGTTTGTGTCAGGCCTGTTTTTTCTATCGCAATATGGGACATCTGGACCAGAATGGGGGGGGTCCAAAACTTTTCCGACCATAATCTCCATTTTGTAGCATGACCCCAAGCTCACACACAAAGGTGTGTGCACCAAACTTAGTGCCTTTGAGTCAGTTCCAACTCATAGTGACTCTCCACCAGGTTTCCGTAGCTGTAAACCCTTCGCCCATGGTGCAGCTGGTGGATTCGAATAACTGACCTTCTGGTTAACAGCCTAACACATCATATACTACGTAACCAGGACTCTTAAAGAGAACAAAGGCTTCACTAAGCTCTGCCATTTCCACTTGTGATGTGCTCTGCCTGACAGTTTCTACTCTGAAAAAAAAATGAAAGTAAATAAATGGTGGTTGCAAACCACTGACACAGTGGCTCTCAACCCTGGCTGCACAATGGAATGAGGAAGCATGTGAGGTGAGAAGATGTTGATGCCCAGGACCTTTAGGGCTTCTAGGGCACCAGGCATCTCAACGTTTCTCAGGTCACCCCAGCGTACCCCAGGGTAACCACCTGCAGTGTGAATTGCATGGACCTCAAGTACAGCTCCTTATATGTTGTTATGCAACAGAACTCCTCTAGGAGTTAACTAAAAGTGAAGTATGTAAGCTTTAGTAGGTATGAAGTGGGTTCTGGAATTCTGTAATTTTAACAACCTTGCCAGGGACTCTGAATACAACTTTGAGGGTTTGAAAGGACTCCTCTTAGCTTGGGGAGCCTGTGGCTTTAGGGTTTGCTTATTGTGAGGACAGTACAGGGTTGGGCATGGTTCCGTTCTGTCTTACACAGGATCACTACATTTTGGTACCGACTTGACAGCACCTAACGATGGAGATCCAGGAGCCCCTGAAGGATGCAAATGATTAATGTGCTCTGTTGCTAATGGAAAGGCCACTGTGAGAGCCTAACCAGAGACACTCTGGAAGAAAGGCCCAGTTAGATACTTCTGAAAAAAATGTCAGCCCAATGGAGGGCGGTTCTGCTGACACGCAGGCTCTCTAGGGGTTGAAGTTATCCTCTTGCATCCTTCGGATTTCCTACAAACATCATCATCATCACAGGAGTGAAGTCTTAAGTGACCATCCTATTTAAGATTACAGCTCTCCTTAGCCCACTCTATTCCCCTTTCCTACTTTATTTTTAGGAAGGACTGGTGACCTAGTCTGCAGGGTGTTGTGCTACTAACCCAAATACTGAGCCTTTCTGGTGGTTCAAATCCATCAGTTGGTTCCTCGGGAGAAAGATAGGCAATCTCCTTGTGATTTACAGCTGCAGAAAACCAATGGAGGGTCAGCTCTGAGTCAGTTCTGACTTGATGGCAGTAGGAGGTGATTTTTTTTCTCTATAGCATTTTTCTATACATGGAGTCCCCAGGATGACTCCTACCTGCCCTTTAATGTTACATAAATTTGCTCTCAAATCTGAAGCCAGATTCATCATCAAATTCTTCATCACAATCATCTTCACTCTCTGCATGTATTTTTATAATATGGAAAACGCTCTGGCCTTTTTTCCCCCCTCAACTTACTGTCATCAAATTGTATCCAACTTACAGTGACCCTGTGGATTGAGTAGAATTGGCTGTAGGGTTTCCAAGGCTGTAAAGCTTTACAGAAACAGAATGCCTCACTGTTCTCTTAGTTACAGTGGGTAGGACTTATGTTCTGGTAAGAACGAAAATTCTTTAACTACCGTGACACCAGAGCTCCTGTCTGCATTAACACCTAAAACAAAAGCTACTGCTGCTGAGTCCATCCTGTGTCAGAAAGACCCCTTGAGGTAACACACCCCCTCAGGGTTTCTAAGGCTGTACGTTTTTACTGGAAGAGACTGCCTCCTCTTTAATCAGAGGAACAGCTGGTGGGTCTGAATCTCCAATCATTTGGTCAGCAGGCCAATACTTAACCTACCACTAGGTACCACTGGGGATCCTTTCTGCACAAAACTTCACTGCCATTCAGGTGATTCTCATGAATACAACCCTGCATTCAGTTTCCATGGCTGTAAATCTTTATGGGATGAAGCCTGCTCATTTTTGTCCCATGGAGCACCTGGAAGAGGTGTACCACCAACTTTCTGGTTTATAATGCAGTGCCTAACACACTGTGCCACCAGGACGGTTTTCCTTGTGCTAAAGTTAAATATAATTCAGCTACAAAACTTGTTCATATGTTGTTAATTTACTTATATATCTTATATCTTCTTTCTCTTCCTCAGAAAGTAAACCCCATGAAAGCAGGGTTTATGGCTTTCTCCTCTTTTTATCAGGTCCCAACCCTCTCCTCCCTCAATACCTCTCTAGTCTGTGTTCCCAGGCGCTTTTCCTTTTTCCTCTGCTGTCCTTCCATCCCCTGACTTTATTTTTATCGCTTTTTTTATATCCATATGGGGTTTTGGTGCCTTTCCCGTCTCTCTACATTCGTATCCTGATTTTCCTTCACTGGGCTTCAATATTCCCACTTGTAAAGTGGGAGTAAGAATTTATTTGTTTTTTGAAGTCATGGACCAAGTAAGAAATCCAGTTTGAGTTGTTTAACTCAGGGAAGAAGTATTTCCCAAATAGGTATGACCTGTCCCAGTCTTTATTCAGATGGAGATGTATCTCAGTATCAATATTTACACAATTGGTGGGGATGAGATGGGGGTAATGTTTAACCTAGGGGGACTACACTACTCTCAGTCTTATGGGTAACTGAGTAAAAAAAGAGTATCATGGTTACAGTTTAGGGTTGTTGTTGATCTGCCAGTCTAGAGGTGTACAAATGGGAAGGTTACCTTAATCTGGAATGTACAGCTGAAACATACATATGGGGAGAGCGCGAAGGAATCTCATCTACGGAGCTATTTAGCCTGGAGAAGTTTCCCCTATTTTGGAGGGTTCATTATTTATGGGCAGGGAGCTGCTAACCCAAAGGCTATACCTCTCAAGCGGTTTGAATTCACCAGCGGCTCCGTGAACTACTGCTCAGTTGGGATTCTGGGGTCTCGGAACCCAATGGACAGTTAGCTAAGAGTCGCTTCCGACTCGATGGCAATGAGCTCAGGTGGGTATTCTCATGAGGAGGTCTGCCCCGCTCTCATTCAGGTAAGAATTTACCAAAGTTGAGACATCTTTCCCCCTTTCTAGTCGGGAACGATATATGTATCCTAGCTTATCTAATATCCAACCAGATGAGAAGTTCTACACTGGTATAAGGGCGGCATTCTCAGCCACTCTCGTGGGGAAAGAAGGCACTCTGTTGCGCTGTACACAAACAACTCGTGCAAATGTTGTAGATCTGACCAGAGTTCTTACCTTGCAGGAAAGAGGCCGAGCCATCTGGCCGTGACAACAGATTCTGTTCGCAAGCAAAGTGCCGGAGGCTGCAGCCGGAACCCCGAAGTCCAGCCTCAACTCCAGGTTCATTGATGATCCGTGTATCTACCTGCATCGCCAACTCCATCAATTGAGACTTCAGGTGTACTCCGCAACCTAGCTTCCGTTCAGCGCAGTGCACATGCGTACGACTTCCCACCGAGTACGCATGCGCTCACCGGGGTTCTGCGCCAGCACGTGGTTCCGCGTTTACCAACATTCTGGTCCCGCCCAACCCCACCTCCCCATCCTGGGAAAACCATTGGGCAGCGGAGGCGAGGGGGCGGGTCCTGGTGTGCAGTCGTTCTTCCCGAGGCCCGGGGCCCTAAAGCCTTGAGGCTCTGTTTAGGTCACCCTCTTCTTTGCCTGTTACGAAAGACATGACAACGAGGGAGTCCTAGACTTTCTGAGGAGGCTGTATTGTTTTGTGCACTCATCTCTACATCCTAGTCACGCCAGAACCGGAAGTGGGTGGTTTCTTGGCTGGGTGGTGCTGGCAAGCTGAGTCAGGCTGAAGAAGTGGCAGCCCCTAGTCTACACCAGGCGGTAGGAGGATCTAGTAGTCAAGATGGCGATGTCTGTAGTTGCCTCGAAGGTGTGGGGGCCAAATCGAACCCTGGGCCAGACTGGCTTCTTGCTTCTGCGACAACTTGGAACTCGGGGACTGTCCAGCTCTGTGAGTACCTGGGGCCCCTAAGGAGTTTTCTGTAAGTGGGAACAGGATTGGAGAGCTCTCACGATGTGGGGCGGGAATAGGGGTGGAGGAACTCTCACGATGTGGAGTGTACAGGGAGTGAAGAAAGGGCAGCCGTAGAAGGGGCAAGGACTGAGAGAGCCACTTGGAGAGGACACTCCAGAGAAGAACTGCTTCCTGGGGCGAAGTAAAGGAGACGCCTCCTTCGTGGGTTTGATAGAGGACGGTCGTGGAGCGCCTCTTGGGTTGTCCTCTACTAGGACATTCACTGTGAGGGACAGTGGGGAAGGCGAGACAACCCCCTTTTAAGTTTAAGAATGAAACCTCAGTGAAGAAGTAAAGGTGCTCCCTTGCAAAGTTTTTTTTTTTTTTTTAGAAACTCCCTTAAGGAAAGAGTGCGATCAGATTCCCCTGCCCTGTGCTTTTAGAAGTAAAAGTTCTAAAAAACTAAAAAGTTCTAAAAAAACTGGTGATGCTGAGTCGATTCTGATTTTTAGCAACCTTTATGGGACAAAGTAGAACTGTCCCGTAAGGTTTCCAAGACTGAAATGTTTCAGCTCAAGCAGCGGCGGAGCTACTCGAGGGTTTAACCATTGCGCTCCCCGGAGGTTATATGTTCTTTGTGTTGCTAGGTGTTACTTAGTCAACTTCGATTTACAGCAGTCCTGTGAACAGCAGATCTGAACCTCGCTGTATCCGGTGCCATCCTCACCGTCTCCGATAGATTCATTGTTAAGAGTCCATTGTTACAGTCAGGTGTCAGTCCAGCTTGTTGAAGTTCCCTCTCTCTCCTAACCTCCGCCCTGCCTGAGAACATGCCCAAAGTTATGTGAGACGAAGTTTCACCATTCTTGACTCTAAGAAGCAAACACTGTGCTTGCACTTTGTCCAGCATAGGCTTATTTCTTAAAATTCAAAGGCACTGATTCTTCTTACTCATTGTTCACATTTCAGATGCAGAGGGAGCAATTAAAATAAAACAACAAACAAAAGCCAATAAAAAAAAAAGCTTGGATCAAACACACTTTACCTTTTAAACTCAGGGGATTTTATATTACTCTGTAGTTCTTTTTGTTTGAGTTGAGTGGCTCATTGAATTAAGTATTAATCCTGCTAATAGACGGATGGGTGGTTGGAACTCACTAAACAGTGCCGGGGAGAAGGATGTGACAGGCTGCTTCTGATGAAGATTCCGGTTCTGAGTCCCCATTGGGGCAGTTCTGTGTTGCCTTTCCTGGTAGGTGTGTGTCAGAGTGGTAGTGGGTTTGTTTTGTTTCTTTGCTACATTGCCATAGTTTTCAAATAATATGACTTGCGTGAAAAGTAGTTTAATCCTTTCTCTCCTAGTTGGATGTTGAGGCAAAGACTTGTTTGTTCTTGTCACTGGACAGAGAAGCTGCTCAGTAAATATTTGTTGAACTGCTAAGGGGAAGGGAGAAGGCCACTTTGCCCTAGTTTCTTACAAATGCTAGATCTCCCAGTTTAGAGGCTCCAGGCAGTGGTATTCAGAAGAACTTTGAACTAAAGAGGTTAAGAGGGCCGGCTCTAGAACTGCGTCACACAGATTCATAACTTCAGTCTACCACTTTCTAGCTGTGTGGGCTTGGGGAAGGGACTACAACTTTCTGAGCCCCATTTTCTCCTGTAAAACGGAAATGCTAACAGTGGCCACTTTACAGGGTTTTGTGTAGATTATATATGTAAAGTGCTACGTAACTGGACCTGACATTTTCAAAAAGGCAATAGGAATATTGCCTACTGTTGAGAGAAAAAGGTGGAGGAAAGGAATGGAAAGTGACCTTCGGGGTGGAGAGTGACCTTGCAAGGGCCTGAACTGGCAAGAGCCCTGGGAAGAATCTGTATAGATGTTGTGGAATTAGGACTGGCTCTCATCCCCTGTGTGATATGAAAAGAAGGGAGAAATCTAGGAGGACTCTCTTGAGTAGGGAGAAAGAAAGGGAGGAAGGGATGACCATTTGAAAAGGGAGTTGCGTGAAACAGGTCAAAGCAGCAAGGTTGGAAGATTGGGATGGAGCAATCTCTTGCCATAGGCTGTCCTCTTCTGCTGTCTTCTAGTCAAGCGTAGGGAAAGGTCACTTGTGATTGATTAAATCTATTCCTCTCCTGACAGGCTTTCTGCTGTACTTGCCGTGTGTGTGTGTGTGTGTGTGTGTGTGTGTGTGCGCGCGCGTGTGTGTGCGCGCGCACACCATTCTTGCCTCCCTCCTCCTCCTCTTTTCCTACCTGTTCTAGATTTCCATGCCCCCTAAGTATTGTGAAGGGATAGCTGCTTTTAGTCAATTAGGAATTTTGACCTGGCTGTCCAGAACTTCCGATAACAGAATAATGGAAATGTCCAAGGATATTGAAAAGGGCTTGAAGGGATAAGTCTCTGGTAACTCTTGTCTTCATTTTCCTGAGACATAGAAGGAGGATGAGTAGCAGCAGATAATAAGTGCCCTGCATGAGTGCCTGGTAATGGAAATGCCCTGTGTCTGCATTGCCCTCATGTGACTTCTGACTGCACAGTGGCTCATAGAGCTGAGGAACTGGAGTTTTCATTTTAATAAGTTTAAATCACCATAAATGGTTAGTGGCTACTGTAAGGGACAGTGCCGTTTTGGCTGCTTCTGGTGGAACCATGATGCTAGTCAGTGCCTTGGGGAAAGGTTGGGAGGTTGAAGTGTGAGGGACAGGTTGGATTACGAGGGCGGAGGGATAGCCATCACATCATTCCCGCTTGCCTGCCCTTTTCCTAACCTCCTTCATTGGATGTCCTGTTGTCTTGGAGCTGCTTCCCTGCTTCCCACCTCCCTTCCTCCCTTTCCTGTTGATCATTTCACTCAGTTCACTGCCATCAAGTCAATCCTGGCTCACACCGACCCTCCATTGGGTTTCTGAGGCTATAAAACCTAACAGGAGGAAACTGCCCATCTTTCTCCAGGGGAGCTCCTGGTGGATTCCAGCCACTGGTGACCCTTGATCTTTTGGTCAGCAGTGCAGCATTCTGTAGACTACGTCACCAGAACTCCTTTTCCTGTTGTTAGCAGATCGTTTAGTGTTCAGTGGTCAGGAAGGCTCTTGCTCATGCCCGAGAGGAAAGTGGGACCTTGGCCACGTCATCCCACATCTCAACCCAGCAACTGTGGAATCCCTATCCTGTTGGAAATAGGGGAGCACCTAGAGCTTGGAGAGTGCTACTTATCATCTGATAAAAGTTTCTCTAAACAGCTCTTCAGGGGCAGCCTGTTAGGGGCGTCTAGTGTCCTGTGCAGTGTCTCTTTGAGAGTTGGGTGTCTGATGTGACGGGTGATCATCCTTTTGGTGGCTCTCTGAAGGAACTTGACCTGATTTTCATATCATGAAGTTCTTCATGATTTACAATGCGAGTTCCCACCCGTTACTGTATTTAATACCGCACCATAAAGAAGGTTCTGGTTGTTGGTGGTGGCTGGTGAGTCACCTCTGATGCGTGGTGACCCCATGAGAACCCAGTCCTGCACCTTCTTCACAGTAGGTAACATGCACCATGTGGTGGCCGCTGTGTGTTTTGAATGCTTTCCAGGCCTGCGGGTCACCTTCAGCATTTGTTCTCTTGTGATCCGTAGGGTTTTGTTTTAACTTTTTGTTGTGATTTGAGTGAAAGTTGACAGAACAAATTAAGTTTCCATTCAACCACTCATGAAAGTTCTCTTATAATACCCACATTGTAGTAGGGGGTTCTGGTGGCCTAATGGTAAGGAGCTGTGCTGCCAACTCAAAGGCACGTGGTTCAAATACAGCAGCCTTTCCACAGGAGAAAGATGGGCAGTCTCCTCCCATGTGATTTACTGCCTCTGAAGACCCACTGGTGGATCAGCTGTGAGTCGGTTCCGACTTGACAGCATAGAACAAGAACAATAACATTAGCACTCTTCCCCCTTCCTGCCTGTGATTCTTGTTTCTGTTCATCCTTTCCTATCCCTTCTTAAGAACTTTATCCCTGGCTAAATGCTTTCCTTTTGATCTTGTATGGTTATTTGCTCTGAGGAATGAGTATGTCCTTGGGATTAATATTTTTCTTACAGGCTTAGCTGTTATTTGGCAAAATGTGGAACTACAGGGGTGTTGGTTCATTTTCAGAAGTAGATTACCAGACCTTTCTTTCATGGGAGACCCTGCTAGTGTTTAAAATACCACAGCATGGTTTAACAATACACAAGCCATGACTGACCACAGTTAAAAGTGGTGGGGTTATGTGCTGCCAAGTCAGAACCAACTAATAGCTGACCCTCCAGAGGATTTTTGGAGCCTGTAAATTGCACGAAAGGAGTTTGCTTGCCCATCTTTGTCCCACAGAGCAGCTGGTGGATTTGAACTCCATGCCTTAGGTTGGCAGCACCACCTCCTTACTA